TAACCTAAATAATAACCCTGCAATTACTACAGGAAAAAAAAAGAAAACACCAGCTATGCTAAAATGAAACTGGATATTTTTCACTTGTTATTGTTATAGGATATATGTGTAGAATATAAAAATAATAATTGCACTCATCCTACTTCTTACACTCTAGTGTCTCAAATCCCTGAGTGGAAGTGGTCTCATTAAGTTTACCAAACCCATTTAACTCTAACATGCTCTTGAACCTTCTCTCCAAATCCACTGAGGCTTTCCTGTCACAAATGCTGAACATTATTTTCTGAAATTCTGAGCATTCTACAGATATGTCTGACCTTCTGCAGATACAACTCACTTAATCATTTATTTAAGTAGTAAAATAGACAAAACCACCAAAATAAAAAAAAAGATGACTATTGTATATTTACCTAAACCTACACACACACACAAATACTCACATATACACAATAACTGAGTTTTTGTATAACTGGATTAATTAGAATGAGGAAAGATTCAGCTGTAAGAACAGTTTTTAAAAAGAGAAGAAATGCTTTATTTAGACCTACGTAAACAAAGTCCACAGAATTTTAAAATTTGATTCATTTAGGCTGCAAATACTACTCAGTTATTTATTGAGCAAACATTACATTCTAGACATTATGGAAAATACAAAGATAAATTAGTTATTGGAAATAAACAAATCCCAACTAATTCCAGTATAGGGTGGAGTATGGTAAGCTCCATGAAGACAGAGGCAGTGTATATATTGTTTAGTTCTGTATCCCCAGTGCCTAATATTGTAAATGGCAAATAGTAGGTGCCAATATACGTTTGATGAATATATAATGAAAGAATAATGTCCTTAAATGTTGTAGAATTCCAGAGGAAGGAGAAATTACTTCTGTCTGGTGTGATTTAGGAAGGGTTATTATAGAGGATAAAGTATTTGATCTGCATCTTAAGGGATGGGGGAATGATTCTAAAGGAGAAAATAACATACCAAGAAGAGGCCATGACACAAACACCAAGATACAGAGGCAGGAAAGTGCAAGACAGTCTTTAGGAATAGCAAATCATTCAGTTCGGCAGTTCAGCATAGAAAATTCATAAGGAAGGAGCAGTAAGTTTAAGAAATTATGTTGAGGCTAGTTTGCTGAAATCCAGAAATACCAAGTTAGTGAATCTAGATTTTATTCTGGAAGGAAACTGAATATTTCTGTTTAGACTTTTATTCACCAGCTTTGCCTCATGCGAAGGGGTCATCATCTTTAACCTGCTTCTGAAGCTGTCTGAGAGAGTCTTCAGAAGCAGGTCCCAATTCTAATATCAGCTACTGCCTAAGAAGTTGCTCCAAGAGAAAGCCTGCCAAATCCAGCAGTGTCAGAAGAGAATATGAGAACTAAGGTAGTAGGAGAAACATTCCTAAAAATGATTAATGTTGGGCAGTTCCACCAGTTCCAAGTCTGTTACTGGACACCTGTAATATTTAATTTAGTATTTCAAACACAGGTAACTTTAGATCGAGTTTTCAGAGACTTGATACACAACAAATCATAAAAGGTAAAAAGTACTCCAAGAGAGATTAGCCCTTCAGAGACCTCTAATGTATCAAAAAGTATAGCACCTGTCCAGTAAGAGACTGATTATTACAGCAAAATGGCATGCAGGAGGCTTCCTGGATGCACAAAGTTGTTTTATTCATTCACTGCAAATACAAATGACTATGTACTATAGGGAGATAAGGGTACAATACATGACTTAAGGAACTTACAATCAAGTTGAAAAAAGTTAGACACTTCAGTCCTAGCAGATTTATATTTAATTTTATCTTCTCAAGTACCTCATGAGTTTAATATTACTATTACCGTTTTAAGTAAAATTAGGATTAAAGGGTTTAAGTAATTTGCCCAAGATGAAAAGGTAGCAAAGCCAGGATTCAAACCCAAATTCGTTTAACTCCAGTGTCCATACTCTTTCTCTTGTACCATATAGCTTTAGAGTCTAGTTTAGCATATGGAAAACACTACAACATATTAGCTAAAAGTAGGCTCTTTAGCATAAGATTATCTAGGTTCTAGATCTTGGCTCCATCACTTGTTAGCTATCTGAATTTGCACCTATTACTAACTTTTTTGTGTCTCAATTTCCTCAATTGTAAAATAGGGGTGGGAGGATAATATTAGAGTAACAGTCCTAACCTTATAGGGCTGTTGTGAGATTTAAATGAGATAATACACATAAAGTGCTTAGGAGAATGGCAGACCAAAGAAAACGCTCATGAAAATTAGCTCTTATTAGTCAGTGAAACTTTGTTGCAATAACAGTTTAGACAATGCACATTTTCTTGATCTCAATGGACATGCAAAGTCTTCCTGGAATTAAAAGGAAATCCCTGGAAATACCGTTCAATAGTCTACTTGTACACAAAGGAATACATGCAATATTGCCATGGTCAAAAGTCTCAAGAACTCTATTACTTTTTGGAAAGAAAACTGTAGCCCTGGTAACTTTCCTGACACTGATAAATTTGACTGATTAGCATGTTTGTTATCTGTTTCCTTCCTACCAGCACAAACATCAAGATATGATACATTTCCGTAGTTTACAAACTTACCCATGAACGTAGGAGATCCATATCTGTGTAAGAAGACTTGAGATATGGGTAGTGAGTACAGGAGGAGCAGTTGCTCCAGGGTCCAACACGAGAAATTTGGAAATCAACACGTGTCCAGAGCAGGTTTTCTGGAAAAGGTTTCCAGCTGTGCCACATCTGAACTTCATCTTCATAGTGGGATAACACACCATCCAAGTTGCACCCATTTGAAGACCTGGATCTACCCGCTGATGCAGAAAAAGAATCCAGTCTAACCTCCATTTCTTCTTTCATTCTTGTATTAATATTACTAACTTTCTTTTCCTGGGATTTGGTTAATTTCAAACAGGAAATCAGCGTGTCATCTTCATCTTCTAAATGACAAAGAAAAATAAGTTAAAAATTAAGTTGTTTAATACTTCACATGTAGAAATTATTAATACTATACTTCTGTTTATGTAATAGTAATGAATGAACAACACAGAATAAACCAGGAAGTCATTCACAGAATATTTCACAGAATAATTTACAATAGCATTTCTTTTTTTTTTTTTTCCTTTTTGGCTTTTTTCTTGTCCGGCAATGGATCACAACCCTCAGTGTCGCGCCCGTACCGGACCGGGACCGGCAACGGGATTGCAACCCTCGGTGTTGCGCCCGCCCCTCGCTCAGCCAGTGAGCGGGAACCAGTCTGTATGTGGGATCCGAACCCTCGGCGGGAGCGCCGCCGCGCTCCCAAGCGGCACACTGTAGCAGTGTGCCACCGGGCCGGCCCTACAATAGCATTTCTTTAAAGAGTAAGTTCTTTTGTTACATAAAATTATTTGTTTTATAAAAATCAGATTTACCTAAAACTTTTTGAAACATATTGACTAAAGTCAATTGGAATGGAACGAATGGAAGCCATATGCAAATAGCATACCGAAAAATATTTGAGAAAAAATGCAAATAAAAAAAAAGATCTCCACATCTTATAAGCATAGTGTGGTGTGCTTCTGTTCTTAAATACTTCTAATTTTTTTGAGGCCTTGTGTAAAAGAGAGAATCACAAGGAAGCAAATGAAATTCTTTGTTTTACTTAAAACAATGAAATCTCAGTGAATATGAGCTGAAATCCTCCTGACATTCTAAAATTATCTATTTTAATATCAATCTGCAAAGAGATGTACACATGCAGTGTGCCTCATGTTTTGATAAAATATTTTGGAAAAGCAAGAACAAGACCAAAAAAAAATGAAAGAAAAAGCTCTTTCTTTAAAACTATAAGGTCAATTAGTGAGATGTGTATTTACATAATGTGGCAAAGGGTTTGATGAAATTTCTAGTAATACATAAAACAGTGACAGAAAATAGAAATATATGTTACCCATAGTAAATTGTTCTATATCATTGAATCTCTGTAATTTCAAATGTTTAATGGGTATAAATGAAATACTATAATTCATATGGCATTATTTGAAATAAGTAAATGCAATCAAGTTGCATGTTATGGACATATCGATCTGCTGTACTCACATCAAAATTAAAAAATACTGTTTTCTACGGCCAAGGAATGAGAACAGTAGACATTGCTGACCCTGATTTTCTTCCTGAGCTCCACCCATAGCTTTCTCTCCCTCTATCACTGAGTCCGATCCTGGAGGGAAGAAGTCATGGGGTGAAATGCAGGAATAGGGCATAGCTATGGAGTGAATTGCAAAAGAACTTGGCAATAAAAAAATACTCAATGTTTAATGATTATTTTAAGATCTTATCAAAGTGGACTTCATTAACGTATGCTTCCCCAGTTCTCCCTCAAAGAATTTTTAGCAGCTATGTAACTCTTACTTACGGAGATTTATTAGGGTAGGTTTCACCTCATCCAGACTCGGCACCCTGCCTTTCTTGGTCCAAACCAGTTTCTGTAGTCGCTTTAATGTCCCCACTGATTCCACTGGGTCACCACCTGATTTTACGGCCTAGCACAAACACAGCTCAAGGTAAAGACAAATTATTCTTCACAAAAGATTAAATATGAAATACGTTGCAATCATAAATTTTAAAAAAATAACAATGTGACCTTAAAACCTGAAGCCTGAGACAATTTAAGCAATAACTTGAAAGCACACACATTTTGAGGGGTTCAAAATTGTAAAATATGTTACAATGGGCCAGTCATACTAAACCAGGGTGGATTTTACCAATTCTTTTTCTTTTTTACTTCAAAATGCAGCAAAATAGATTAAATCCCCGGCCATTAATAAATGACTTACTTCTGCTCAATGTGAAATAGTGGAAGGAAATGAGGTCTTTGCAACATAATATAGATGGAACAGGAGGTTTAAAGTTTCTACTTGCAAGTGTTGGAATAAACTGATGGTAAGCAATAAATGGTCTACCTCCTGATATCAAAAAAGAAAAGCAGAATTTAAGTTTTCTTAATTTTCCTTTTGGAAATTTCTGGGAAAACAACATTTTGTCTCTAGTGTAAAACGTTTTCAAATAATATACTTTTTATCAAATAGCCTCCTGCTTTCTAAAAGATACTCAGTGAGCAAAACAAAATATAGGCACAGCATACCATATTATGTTTTGGTATACTGGTGTCAATTATTATTTTTTTTAAATTTTGTGATTGCAAAATATGGAACAAAGAGAATTAATATTATCACTCTTAAGGTTTCCTTGAAAGATATAGAAATATTTCCCACTAGTTTAATGTTAGATAATTTGTATTTATATTGCCTTTACTTATTATTTTTAGGATATTTATTCTTAAGGATTTTGAAATATTTTAGAAATTAATGCTCTGTGTGCTAAGTTTTATATCAATTGTTAAAATAGTTGTATTCTGTTGTATTAACTAGATGTAAGGTAATACATAGAGGAATCCTTTTTTTTCATCCAGAAATTTCAATCAGAACTATTTCTCTCCCCACTTTTGTCTTATTTTTTATATTGAGTAGCTGATAAATGATATCTAAATAGATACTGCAATTTTCAAAAGGTGAATGGTTTACTTACTCATTAATGTTTGAAGGAGACATTTATAATAGTGCTTTTCAATCCTTTGAGAGAGACTATAAGCCCAAAGACATGCTCAGAAGTAAAGGATCTCTGGCAAGCAAACATATCCAGTCTTTATATTCAGCTTTTATTTTTGGTCTTTAAGAATGACTTTGGGGCCAGCCCGGTGGCGCACTGGAGAGTGTGCCGCTTGGGAGTGCGGCGGCGCTCCCGCCGAGGGTTTGGATCCCATGTGGAGACCGTTCCCACTCACTGGCTGAGCATGGTGCGGGTGCAACACCAAGGGTTGCGATCCCATTACCAGTCAGTAAAAAAGACAAAAAGGAAGAAAAAAAAAAGAATGACTTTGAATAACCAACATAAACTTAATGTCTGTCTCTCTGTAATAGCACCTAAGTAGGAAATGTAACATTTTGTTAGATCAAGCCATACCTGTTTGCATTAAATAAATGGAAAAATATTGAAATCATTTTAATCTTTCAGGGAGAAATGTGGTGAGATATTCTTAGATATGCAAAATCTTCCCTGTCTTTCCAAAGATCATGCCCAGTTCAACACAATTTCTATTGCTGTTTTTTTTTTTTTTTTTTGTATTATTTTCTCAGTATTCCTTTTCTGTGCTTTCTGTTACTCAGTTTTAAGACATCTTACAACCCAGGAAGATCCATTTTCTAATCTTTAGCCCATTCCAGAAATAATAAGCTGACATTGCACAACCACTTTTTCTTTGCTGTACTTCCTTCTTTTCTTATGGCAACCTGCTCCTGTTACAGGCCAAGCTTGATTGCTCCACTGAAACATGGGCATGTAAATAGCCTTCTCTCTCTCCCTTTGTGAAGCAGGCTTTCACATGATTTGGGAAAAGGTGTCATATACAGGGGAAATGAACTTCATATTAATGATTTGTTCCCAGGAGGAACAGAAGCATTTGGAAGTTGTCTACATTCAGATGAGTGAGATGTCGTGGCCCAGATGTTTTGAAACAAACTGACCCCTCATTATTTTGTTCACATTCTATTATGGCCTTTTCGAAGCACAATACTATTAACTTTTGTATTTTTATCACTCTCTCATCTTTGACTTACTAGACACCAGTCACTGCTTTTTATTCATTTCTTAATCCCATGTGCCTATGATAGTGCATGGCTTTAATGAATGTTTGCTGAACGTAAACACACTCCTTGTTTTATACATATGTGTTATCTTCCAAATAAGTTATCCATAGTAAATATTTGATACTAGACGACTTTCTAATAGCAAAGCACTTCTGGACAATCTCCTCTTGCTATTAGGTAGTATACACCCAAGGATTGGAAGTTAGAGTTAATATTATTGTAAAAGATACAGAATTATTAGGACTATCTATTAAAAAGAAATCCTCTAGAATATTTTCAAGATAATAACTTTATTCACCTCAATCTCCTAATCTGTTACTTGCATATTTGTACTAAATGTGATTAAAATTTATAATAATGTGCTTTTAATTTCTAGATGTGTTCTAAGAGGACTGATTCATAAATTAAACTTGGCATTCAACCAATCAATAAACTTTTATTGAGCACCTACTATATGCCAATTTCTGGGGATAAGCATTTAGCAAGCAAGATGAGATTACTGCTTTCATAGAGTCTACATTCTAGAGGGAGGTGATAGACCATAAGCCTGTAAACAAGTACATAAACGAGAAAATGTGAGATAAGAAATGCTATGCTAAGAATTAATAGGATGATTTGGTGAGGGGGGTCACTTACTAATCTTGATTGGGTTATGAGGAGGGGCTTCACTGAAGATGCTAAAACTGAGGCCTAAATGACCGGAAGGAATCAGAAACGTGATGATTTGGAGATGGTTTTGGATTCAGCAGATGGTCAGGAAAGACATCTGACAGAAAAGCGTCAGCCGGGTAAATAGCAAAGGAAAGAGAAGTCCTGGAAGAGTATACAGTTTGAGCAAAGGTTGTAAAGGTGGAGTTCCTGGAAGAATTCTTAGTGTGTGCCCAGGAAGAAAAAGAAGGGAAGAGTACATGAGATGAGGCCAGAGACTAACAGGGATCCTTCAAGGAGGCTTCTGTAGAGCAGGTTGAACAATACATAATATCTAATCAGTTGAGTGACACAGCTTCGTTTGCATTTTTATTCATCTTCTCTATGTATTGAATTTTGATAATCTTTCTTTTCAATGAACTCTTTCCAATAGCATGCAAACATCCTCTCATCTCATCCATCTTTAATTCACCATCTTTTATTTACCACTTTTTCTGCTCTTTCCTAGGCATGCATTTTTAAAAAGTTAACTATGTATGCTTCCTTTAACTTAATTCCTTTAATTTCCCACCTCATCTACTCATCAGCTTTTGTATCTACCATTCCATTTAAATTGCTTTTGTAGTCCAATGAACCATTGTCAAACCCTTGAGTACTTGACAGTCAGCAATGTTGACCACAATGACCTTCTGGAAGCTTTTTCTTTTCATGGCTTCAGTGATACCATGTTCCCTTGATTTTCCTTTCGCTTTTTTGGCTGTTTCTTCTCTAACTCCTGTATGCTAACACCTACATTTTCTTGAAATTAAATACTTCAATTCCTTTAGAACTAGCTCTGACTTAATATTACCATCATACTCTTCTCATGAGCATATACACATGTGTGTGTAGACACACACTTGAACATACACACAACTTTTAATACCACTTATGTGCTGATGATTCCCAATTTATTTCTTTCTCCAGGCCTCTCTTCAGAGCTGCAGACTCAGGTGTCCAACAGTCTATTTAAAATGATTTATAAGCACGATCAAGACTGACCTCTAAACCTCTCCCCCAAGCATGATTCTCATCTACTCTTCTTCAACTCAGTGAATGCCATTTTTATCCAACCAACTACATACTCCGTAAATCAGAGTCTGGTCTATTCTATCCCCAAAATATATATTGAATCTGTTTCTTTTTCTCTATCTCCACCATTATCACCCTAGTTAATTTCTCTCATTGAAACTATTGCCAAATCCCCTGTTTTTTGTTTTGTTTTTCACTTTTGCCTTTCTAAGTTAGAGTCCTCTTTGCAAGACATAAATCTCCATCAAAATGGTAATTATATGTGAATGTAAATGTGGCTTTTCATATGCATATATTTAGTGTGTATATACTGCATCTTTCATATATATTTATATGTATAAGTGTAAATATCTTTTAGTTCATTTTGCTCACACTTCCTCAAATATAAAAAATTTTTAGAAGTGCTAGGTTAAATATATCTCATTTCTGACACTTTACTCAAGTATTAGGATTATAGAATATTTTTTAGAAAATAGCATCAATGGGGCCAGCCTGGTGGCGCACTGCTACAGTGCGCTGCTTGGGAGCACGGCGGCGCTCTCGCCGAGGGTTCGGATCCCACATACAGACCGGCCACTCACTGGCTGAGCGAGGTGCGGGCGCAACGCCGAGGGTTGCAATCCCGTTGCCGGTCCCGGTCCGGTACGGGCGCGACACTGAGGGTTGCGATCCGTTGCCGGTCACGAAAAAAGACAAAAAAAAAAAAAGGAAAATAGCATCAATGAATTATTGGACTGAATTGGTCCTACAGTCATATTTTATGAGCTGGGATGAAAATTACTGGACATCTAGTCTACCAGCCTATTTAAAAAATAAGAAAAGTCAGAGAAGCTAAGTGGCTTACTCAAGGAAAGATAATTTATTAATAATAAAGTTGGGATGAGAATCAAGTATTCTGACTTTTAATACAATGGTCTTTCTTACAAAATTTTTAGAATACAACACAATTACTAGTTATCTAGTATTGACAGCCAAATTAAGACTAACCAAATTCGGGGGAGGGAGGATTCTTCTGACCAGTAAGGGGATTGCAACCCATAGCACGGTGCCCGCACCACGCTCAGCCAGTGAGCACACCAGCCATCCCTATATAGGATCTGAACCCATGGCCTTGGTGC